ATGGACCCCAAGAAGGTGGAAGCAATTGTGTCTTGAGAGGTTCCGAAGACGGTTAGAGACGTACAATGCTTTCTTGGTTTACTCAACTTCTATCGGATCTTCATCAAGAATTACTCTCAAGTTGTTGCTCCTCTCACTTGGTTGACATGCAAGGATAAGCTGGAATGGGGACCTCTAGTGGAGAAGGCGTTTCAAGACCTGAAGTCCGCATTTAGTACGGCTCCAATCTTATTACATCCAGACTTTACAAAGGCCTTTTATTTAGAAATTGATGCTTCAGATTTTGCTTTGGGAGTTGTACTTTTACAAATGGAAGAAGACAAGAAGCTCCATCCGGTTGCATTCTATTCTCGAAATTTCTCTGCTGCTGAAATCAATTATAAGATCCACGATAAGGAACTTCTTGCTATAATGGATTCTTTCCAAAAATGGCGTCACTTTCTTGAAGGAGTTGCACATACAGTGACCGTATACACAGATCACAAGAATTTGGAGTATTTCATGTCGGTTCGAGTTCTAAATCGATGTCAAGCTCAGTGGAGTATGTCACTATCTAGGTTCGATTTTGTTATCACTTATGGACCTGGAAAGCAACAAGGACTATCTGATGCCTTATCGAGGAGATCATATCTTGTACCAAAGTCTGAAGAAGTAGCGTTTGATCAACAATGTACGACGTTGTTGAAGCCAGAGCAACTTCGACTTTGCGCTACTATTGTGCTAATTGATGTTGACTTCTTGAATTAAGTACGTGCCGTGACTATTGAAGATTCAGTAGCCATTGATATCAAGGAGCGTTCCAATGACGAGAAGTTCAAGGTAGAGGGAGATCTTTTATACTTTGAGGAGCGGTTGTATATTCCAAAAGAACCAGCACGACTCCGAGTTCTTCAATCTCGCCATGATTTTCCAGCTGCAGGACATTTTGGATTCAACAAGACATTGGAGCTTATTTCTCGAGATTTTTGGTGGCTTCAAATGTGAAAGGATGTGAAAGTTTTTGTCTTCTCTTGTGACATCTGTTCAAGATCCAAGAATCCTCGATATCGCCCTTATGGACTCCTACAGCCATTGCCAATCCCACGTCGACGATGGTCTTTAGTTTCCATGGACTTCATCACGGACCTGCCATCATCGAACTCATTTGACAGCATCTTTGTCGTAGTAGATCGGCTTACAAAGATGGCGTACTTTGTTCCTTGCAAAAAAACATCATCCAGGGAAGTCACAACAAGGCTCTTTCTCGATAATGTGTATCGATATCATGGACTACCAGATCATATCGTATCAGATCGAGGAACCCAATTTGTATCAAAGTTTTGGAGATCTCTCTTTGAGATACTGAAGGTGGATATCAAGCTTTCTTTGGCTTTTCATCCTCAAACTGATGACCAAACGGAACAAGTGAACCAAGTCTTGGAATAATATTTATGATGCAGCATCAATTATCAGCAAGACGATTGGACCACATATCTGCCGCTAGTCGAGTTTGCATATAACAACACCCTCCATGCGTCGACTCAATACACACCATTCTTTTCTAACTATGGATATCATCCGAAGCTTGATTTATTGAGTTCGTCAACAATTAACAATCCAACAGGATTTTGTGAAACAACTATCAGAGCTTCAAAATACGTTGAAGCTTCAATTGCAATCCGCTCAAGAATCCTATAAGGCGATTGCAGATAGATTTCGGACTCAAGCACCTACTTTTAAAATTGGAGATAAAGCATGGCTTCTTCAATGAAATATCAAGACCAAGCGACCATGTGATAAGTTGGACTATCGAAGATTGGGACCATTTATCATTCAGAAGCAAATCAATCTAGTGGCATACCGTCTAGAATTACCGGCTTCTATGAAAGTACATCCAGTCTTTCATATTTCTCTATTGGAGCCTTATCGAGAGTCGTCTTTTCCTGGAAGAGTGCAATATTTGCCACCTAGTATTGAGATCGAGAACCATGAGGAATACGAGGTTGAAAAGGTACTAGATTTACGACGAAGGTGGGGCAAGTTGGAGTATCTTGTTTATTGGTGCGGCTACAACATTAATGAGTGAACGTAGGAGCCAGCTGAAAATCTCGCCAATGCGCCGCAAAAGGTACATGAGTTTTATCAACAATATCCTCATAAACCTAAGCCTGTTCGACGATAGCTTTCTTCTGAAGCTTGCTCACCCAAGAATATAAGAAAGGGGGAGAGCACCACCAAAATTCGTAGTTGATGTAGTTATTTTTTACAAGATAAAGTAGAATTTTTACAGTAGCCATAGTTTCGTCTTCTGATATGGATAGCGAAGAGATAGATACTATGCCAGTCAGATTATCTCAACCAACTAGCTCACGAAGACGATCCTAAGATTAAGAACTGCCTACACCATGACGACGACGGAGGATACCGAGTAACTGATCATTGGTGATTGTATTTGAGTTCGAGTCTGCTTACGATGGTCAGCCAGAAGGCATGTTTGCAAGACAATTTTACAATGAGGACATAGAAGTTCACGCTTGGTCAGAAGTTGAAGGTGTGGGCCACTACCATTGGCTTCAAGGGCCAATGAACCACTTACTTCGTGAACAACAGTTGGAGTTCATAACAGACATTATGCGACAGATCTTCATTTTCTTGCGTTGGTATTGATTAACAACAACATTGCTTCTCAGAGACCTCGAAGCTAAAGGAGGGGGTGATGTTAGGGACATAGTCATTAGAACCTTCTAGAGACAAGTTTCTAGAACCTTCTAGAAGCAAGTCTCTGGAACCTTCTAGAAGCTTCATAGTTGGTAGAAGTTACTTGAGAAGCTTCCTAAATAGGAATATATATTGGAATCGAGGCTGAAGAGTTTTTCAGTCTCGACAATACATCTCTTGGAGCTCTAGCTCACTTCTCTGGTTTTGTTCTTGTATTCATCTAATTAATCTAATTCTTGCCAGTTCTTCTTGAACTTCTTGTTAGATTTCGAGTCTGTATTTCTATGTCTGTGACAGATGTCTTGTTATGAACTTATGTCTATTTTTTGGATATAAATCTTAGCTAATATATAATGATTATTCTTTTTTTCTTTTTTTCTTTTTTGAAGGTTTATCAAATCATTGGTAATATTGTAATTTGTTATGATGTTTTTTTGATAACCATGTTTATCTTTTTAAAAAGTATTAATATATATTTTTTCATTTTATTGAAAAAATAAAATCCAAAATTCCATTCTAAAGTATTTGGATATATTTTATATAAATTAATTACAACATATTTATTTGTAATGAAATTGGTGGATAATGCAACTATTGGAAATAATAGAAAACAAGATTAGAAGAATACTTAGTTGGATTCTGATATGACTTTACACATATTTGTAGGTAATTGATATATTGAAAACTTAGCCAACAAGTTGGTCATGTGTCATTCATGTTGGTAACTTGTCGTACTTATGTAGAAAACTTATCTTGCAAGTTAGACATATGTCTCACAAGTTGGACATGTGTTGGAGGTCCTTTAGAACAGTGACACGTAGTTTTTAATTAGATAATATATATGGAGGCAAAAGTAAAGCCTTCTTCATTCTTATCAACAAATTTCTTATTATTACTCTTATTTCAAGAGTCTCTAGTCTTTTTGTCTTTGACAATAGCCATTCTAGCCTTGATATTATACCATCTTTGAGTAATTATCTACTCTTTTCTAATAATACAAGAGCATATTGATCCTTTGGTTATTTGTGATACATATCCTTCATTATTGGTAGTAATTAAAGAACAACAAATAATAAAATAACAACTAGGTCTAATAATAGGTAAAATTTGTGTAGTAATTAAGATTAATGGCTCTTGGAATTTGAAAGAATCAATCTAGGAATATTCAATAGATGTGTTTTAATTATATCAACATGAATTTCTTACTCACAAGTTGAAGGTGTTGAAAGTGAGATTTTTTTTTATTCCATCTTTTTCTTATGTAGTTTGGTTGATTTTGGTTGTCTTTCTTATTGTTTTGTTTTATTTTTTGTTCTTTTTAAAATCATGTCTTCAACCAATTAAATTAAATTATCATTATTATTATTATTATTATTGAAACATCAAAGATATTCTAATAATTTTCTGTTTTAGATCTTAAAAAAACTAAAAATTATTTTTACAAGATTATATATATTTATTTAATATAATAGTTGAAAAACATAAATCTAATTATTTTTTTATTTAATTCAAATCAATATAAATACGTTTTATTACATATAATGTTATTATGATCTTCTTCTACTATTATTTTTTTTCTTTTATTTTTTATCTGCATATATTTGTATCAATATATATTCTAAAAAATATAGCATTAGAAGATACAAAAATTGAATGTGGCATTAAGTTTAAAAAAATTTGTAACAACAATAATGATTTATCATTTTATATTATTCTTATATATGGTATGTATCTCTCTCTCTCTCTCTCTCTCTCTATATATATATATATATCTCTAGACACACATGTATCACATGTACACATACAAATATATCTACATATAATCATTTTTAAACTAAGGAATTTTATATCAAGTCAACAGTTTCTTTACTAATTAATTTATACATCTGATATCACCACACTAATTTCTTTAAGAAGACTAGAGTTCACAGTTTTCATAGATTTAACAACGAAACGATGTTTCATGCATTAGATAACACAACCATGCAAATTCGGCATTTACTCCAGCTTTGGGTTACTGTGATTGCCTGAACACGCTTTCAGATCAAAATAATGCATTGTAAATATTCCAACAGTATTCAGAAGATCATTTTGGGTAAGGTGCTATGACGGCAAACATCTGTTCTTCAAAGTGAAAAGAATGTTTAATCTACTTTTTCACTACAGTTACATGGACAACTTGCACAGTTTTACAAATTAAACAATTCTCAATTTCAGCACAAGACTCCTAGTAAATCCGGACGTTTTGAGACACAACAAACTCTCATGAACAGTTTTACTCAATCATAAACAGCACAGTAACATCAGCTTAAAATTAACGCAGCAATTTATTAAGAATATTACATATGTTAACATTGGTTACAAAACTTGGCATACTTTGAGCTTCTAGAATACTCTCGAGTATTCTGAAGAATACTTAAGCACCTACTCACTTCCATATATGTACACATTTAATAATTTTCTACACGAAGGTAACTATCACGCAAACCTACACCAGAAACAGGAACTAGTTTACAAATACGTTGCGTTGACAACGCCATGAATGTGGCTTGACCTTACGTTTAAAGAATTACTTTTCTAGGTTTAGGCGTGTTCTCACTCTTTTCCTCTCGCAGTGCAACGAAAGTTTTTACTTCACTAATCACAGGGTAGACAAAACAATGCCAAGGAGCTTCGCTTGGGGCCTTCCAGATTGGATTATCCTCCAAGGTAGTCTCTTCAGTCATGTCACTGTGTACACACCACACGACGTCCAGGTCGGGTTTTTCAAAATCAGCACACACTACGCATCCTAGTGACACATAACCATTTGGAGCCTTTGGCATCCATATGGAAATTGGACTCCCAGATCCATCTCTCCAGTTTCTCCACACCTGTAAAAAAACAACCAGACTTAGTTTTGTTGCTCCAAGTTCCAAAGCTTCCTTAACAAGTCGATGTAAGGCACTTACAAAAGATTGCATCAGAGGAAGGGGTTTAGCGTCTCTATAGTCTTGAGGGACTCCGAAATATTCAACAAAAAAGATTTTCTTAACGGAAAATATAATCAAGTACCACAACCGTACCAGAACGAAGTCCAAAGGCCTCTCGAATTTGTCATCATCGTATCTGTAGGTTATCACAGTCTGGTTGTCTGGATAATCTCCAACGAACGCAACATCTCCAAGGGATATGTACCTACAAAGAAGATTAATTCGAAATAGAAGAGGTCAGCGGTCACCAAAAAGCTTTAACCAACTCAGTGACTACATAATATTGTTGAATATGGTGACAATAATGAACTAGGATGTTCGTCACTCAATGTTAAGAGACTTGATTTGTTCATTCATTGGCCTATACTGAACATCTACGAACTACAGTTATTTCTATTATTAGTAAAACAAGTAAGAGTTTCCAGTGTTCCAAAACTACTTGCTTACTGTTTTATTAGGACCAAAAATGAAGGAACTTACTCAGGTGGCGGATCGGGACGCCAAAATGAAATACTATCCGTCGCTGTAACACAATCAGATCCCTACAACACAGGGAAGGACAGATCAATGAGCATAAAAGTAAGGGCATGGACACACAGTGCAAAGAACATGCAAAGGCTACCTCAGTAAGGACTTCGAAAAGCACTTAATACAACCTTTACAATGCGATGGCACTTCAAGTTATCTATATTGTAAAGAATGATCGGGTGTAGAAAAGGGTAGTTCCTACCAGACAAGATCCTTTATTTTTGTTGAAACTCCAAATTGGGTTGCCTAAAGAAGTTTCGCACCGAAACTCGTCATCTCCCAAAGTCTTTGGAGCTCCCTGTACCTCCCATCGTTGTCCAGAAGATTCTGAAGCATCAGAATGCTCAGGATGTGAACGGCCAGAATTCTCCTGGGTATTCTTGCTTCTCTTGCTATTATCCCATACTGATCCTGCTTTTGGACGTCTTCCTAACCTTCTGGGCTTCTGTCATTTGTGGCATCTTACATTCTTCTTCAATAAGTTAAGCAAGTATGCAAATATCCCAAGACTGAATTAATTACTTTAGGAATTAATTACTTTAGAATTTGATATGTATTACTAACGCGTACACTTAGAACTAGACCACCGTCTACTACAAGGTCCCACTGAGAACAAGAGAGACAATGACCTGAAGGGAATATGCTCTTCTTAAATTCGTGTGACTATTAACATGTACTTTGTGCCTAAAATTAGGATTTGTAAGAGAACGATCACATTAATAATCAGTTTATATATTTACGTATGGTTAATCTGAATTGATACATTTAGATGAATTGGTTGGTGTATATTCATATCAATTTAGATTAATTGCACACGGATATTATTCACATATGTACAACTGACATCAATCGATATGTCTAAATCGATAAGAGCGCATGGTGACTAACATGCTGCGCAATATGGGCGGACGACACGTTGAGCAGGAGAATCGGAAATGTAGACTTCGATGGATTCAATTATTTAGTACAGTATTTTTACCTTGGCTTTCGATGGGTCTTGGGGAGCTGGGCAAAATGATCGCCATTGTTGATGAACAGATCTGTATATTTTGGTGGCTTGAGGGATCTCTGAATCATTTGGGGGGTAGCACGATATAACTTGGGTGAAGTCCTTTGAGGAATGTTTCAGGTGAAGCAGGACCTGAGTTATTCCCAATTCGCTGGACTCACTCGACTCCTCCATGGACAATAGGTTACTCCATTCAATTTCCCACTTTATCGTACAAGGGTCTGTCAGCTCCTTCCTCGGGTCCCGCTCATGTGACGAGGGGCTCTGTCATAAGATATTTATATCACTTATGAGACTGTAAAATCTAACCAACAATCAAGAACATTGCAGAGAAGAGCCGATGATTGACAAACCACCTGCAGTGCTAGTGCACGTCGTCCACTTAAGTTCAAGAAATCCGTTTGAGAAAAATAGTGATTCCTAAAAGCAACCTTTCTCAACTAGGAATTTCGTGCCATTTAATAGAGTACAATTAGATAAAAACGACAAATGCTAGGCTCTTGACATGAGATATTAAATTAAATCGCAGAAGTCAAGATAGTTTACCAGCAGCATCGAAACTCTTCGATTTGTCAGCATGAGAATGTAATCTTTGGGAAGATAGAAATGCTCTTGATAAAAGTCAGAGAAAGCAAAAACTCCTGCAGTTTTAAAAACATCCATGCTTCCAATCGCACGACTGCTTTGTGCTAGCCGCAAAATGGCCTGCATTCACCAACGTAAAAACTTTAAATTTTCTATTTTTAAAATAATGTCACGAAAAGACTTTAACAAGTTTTTAAGTTGCTGACTCATAAAATACAAGAGAAATACCTGGCCATGGGCAGCATGAGAGTCGTAAGGAGTAAGAACGCCATCTCCTTTGATAGCACGAGGAAGGCGATATCGTTCAAACTTTCGATCGTGTTCAAAACGTTCGAAGCAGTTCGAGCAGCTGGTGCCTATGCCACTAACACTTAAAGACATGAAGTCCAGACACCCACTTAGAGGTTGTGCAACAACCCCAATCAAGGCCTTAACAACACCTTGGATGCATCCCGGGGCTCCCCCATCTCGAACACCATCAACTGGCTTTGATACAATTCCTTTTACTCCATAACCCACCCCCCGAGCCAAAGATGTAGTTCCTTGGACCATGCCATCTTTAACGCCTTCTATTTTTCGTGAGTTCTCCTGCACCGCGAAGTTTCTTCAGCAATCTCAAATAACATGAGGATTGCAGATATAAATGGAGCTCAAAGGATAACTATCGACGTTTTGAAGCCATTTAAGAGTGCTCTCACTTATCCTTAAATGGCAGCTTCAAGATTGAAAATTGATTTGAAAACTTGACATGGGTCTATATACTGACCTGATTGGTTCTGACGCGCATGAATTCATCATCTCTTGACAAACTTGCGGCGCCTCGGCTCATTGTTCCGAAAGTAGAACTTGTCATGCCAAGAACGTTCACACCTGTTAGAAGCTGAAGAGGTTGATGAACAAGGTCCCGTTTCACTCGGTTCAATACCTGGGCTTGCACCTGGCTGTTCCGCATGCGCCGGTTCTCCCGAAATACAGGGCGAAAGGTAATCTGACGTCAAAATATGAAAGCATTCGATCAGTTTTGATGCAGAAGTCGGAAAGATTTAACGCTGTTGACCTCTAAACTATTGTATTCTAACTTCAAAACTCGCAGGTGGTAAACATTCCTGTGATCGCGGTCGACTTTACACAGATTAAATCAGTTTGGTCATCAAATACCCAAATGCTTTCACTCACGACATTCTGTGGAGATTCTGGGAGTCTCTATAACTCAATTGCGAAAAATAACACTATACGATAGTTGTCATAAAAACATATGGTACAAACAAACATCAGTAAATTACATTCGGATGGAAACACTGACCGGCATTTTTGAGATGTTGCCTAATGTGGTAACCGCAGGACCCCAGATGCCAAGCTTTCCTTCAGGCCGTTGATCTGGACTTGCTTCTACTGAGAGCTTTAATCGTACTTCACTAACATCCAAGATCCTGAAAATAGTCACAAATCAGTAGAGCTGACTTAAAACAATGAACATCTAATTAGACAATACTTCCAATGTTCTAAGAAGCATGGTTGAACATTGCTTCTGTCAACTATACTATGATCAAAGCATTAATCATAGCTTAATACCCTAGCAAGAATAGAGGAAGGAGGAGTTAGCATACTCTATGCGGATTTCTGGGTCAACTTGAACAACTGGTGAATCAGATGAAAGACGATCAAGATGCAGATTGTTATACATCTCCAAGAATGCCCATATTAATGCTTCATGAACACAGATACGCCACGCATTTTCAGTAACCTGCAATTGATCCATTCATTCGCTATGGCCGCTTAATAATATATATATACAAAAAAAGTGAGCATCATCAATATACCTCATTAGAAAGTCACCTAGATTATCACACGTAAAATTTTAGCAGCATTCCTGAGAAAGCCTTTTTAGATAAAAATAAAATGTGAGTACCAGAGGACTTCGTATGATACACAAAACCAGTGCCTGAGCATATTAGCATAAAAATTAACGCATGATCAATATGGTAATCTGATAGAACGACGCACCTTCAAACTGAGATATGGATAAACCTTATCCGCTTCGTTGGTCTCCGCTTTCATGGATGCAATGGCTTTGACAACAAAGTCCTCACCTTCTTGAAGTTCAGGAGCTAGTAATACAGGCATAGGCGTAAGAGGAAGTTGATTATCTACTTGCATATAGCCCACAGTTACAGTAAACCTGCACCACCTCACCAAAACCATAACAGAGATTAACAACAGGAAGAAACTAAAGATAATGCAAGACACGTGATTCTTGTCTCAATTACTCAATAGCATCATAAACCTAGCACTCACCTACTAACATTGTCGCCTAGTCCCATCGCATAGATAACGTCCACCTTTTCCATAACGAAGAAAATTAACTCCCGTGGGTACTGGTCAACAACGGACAGACCAAATTTGTGAACCCGTAAAACTATCTCCATTTGGGAAGGGGCCTCAGGGCGTGTTTCATGTTCATCTTGCATGGGTTCTGTTGCACCTTGACTTGGAACCGATTGTTCAATTTCGTCTCCCTGTGCATGGTCTTTGTCTTGAATCTCTACCTCTGAATTGAAAAACCTCACTATTTTGGCTTCTGGAGCATCCAACACCTGAGTATAAAAAATGTCCTATCAGTGTTTCGCATAATAGGAATGGGTAATATACTCGTGCATGACATCTAAATCTGCTGGAATGCGTGCACACGTGTGGTTTGTGCTATTTCCTCACTGTGTTTGGCCAGTAATACGCGAATCAAGTAAACTTCATTTCACTCTCCAACAAATTTAGAAAAAATAACACACATCAGAACCCCAAATTGGATTGCATCACACAAAAATTTCATACCGAAACGAAACTGTTACATACTTAGAGTACAGAAATATACTTCTCATACACACTACTGTTAATTGAAAAAGTAGTAAATAAGGTAGGTTTTGCACACCCGAACACAAATGTTGAAGGATCCAGATCTGTCTCCAGATAGCGGGGGATGATCACCCATTTTGTTAATATCTATCTCAGCACTTCGGGGAACATCCCCGCGGACTTGAACAACCTCCAAGAGCTTTTCACCCTGCAGATTCTCCCATGCGAAGATAGCCGAAGAATGTGGTCTTACACTCCTCCAAGCATTCTCGTGTAGACCCTTCTGACGAAATTTTATCGTTTCCTTATGCGTCCGATTTTCAACCCTGTAATAAACACCACACCCTATCATTATTGTTTCCAAGGCATGGCTGGAAACACATATCCACGTCATCTAAACCGTAAAATTTACAGCATATGGAAAAATTTCGTCTACAGAAATTGCCTCTGCAGTGTAGAAACTTTACCCCAGGGATGCATCGTGACTTATTTTTACTCTCATATTGGAAAAACTAGCCAACAGAGAAATTCAATCATTGAGCCCACACTTCACAACAGGAGAAGGATGTTCCGAATATGAGAGAAGTTTAGCTTTCATCATTCACAACAAAGCTCACACAAAAAAATGAAAACAATCGTTGAATAGTTTCAGAAGTTAAATCAACACATACCTGTAAGGACCACGAGAGGATCCCAACTGAAAAATGCCATGAAATCGAGATCCATCCACGTGGCCATGAACATCAAGCCTGACTGATTGCCTTCGCCCATCAATATGACAAACGATTACGTCGATAATCTCCTCGTCATCAACAGAAAATGGAAAGGACCATTCTGATCCTTCCAATCTAATCTGCAAGTAAAAAGGACTCAGGCGTGTTAATTTTTGCGACCTCGACGTCAAATAAAAGGCCATATTGAACGAAATATTAATAAATGCTAGCTAAATCTAGAATCAGCTCTCTTAAAAGCCTCATGGAAGTCAAGGGGAAAATGTTGAAAAGAGAAGGCTGTATATAATACTTCAATCCACAATGTGCACATTCACCTGCAATTGAAGGGAATCCTGGATTGCTGGAAATCCAAACGTGGTCCGCCAGTCCCAAGGATGCAAAGTCACCGATTGATCAGTGCCCGCCTGCCTCAGCTCAAGAGGTCGTCCAAGACGATTTGTGAAAAGCGTATACGGACGTAAGCGGACCACCTATTCCATAATTGCACGGGTTAAAGTAGGTTCTAGAATACAAATTTATGACGCAAACGTACAACACGATTAAATTTCTCTAATGATTCCATATACTTATGAAAAGAAGTACCTGTGTTTGTGCAAACCCGTATGGATGTAACGTTGTTGTAACAAGGAATCTGAATTGCAAATTTTGATTATCAGCAACTCGGAGATCCACATTCCCAATCTGCGAAAAATGAAATAATTCAAAATACCACATTAATATCCTCTCATAAATCTTACACGAAGAAAAATGATTCACCAAGCTGCGCATCTGCTTGCAAACTTTAAAAAATATAAAAATTTATGCACATAAATATAAATTTAAGAGATAATCTATTTCCAAAAGTATTACTTCCAGAGGCTGCTTAGGTTTAAGTTCTTGCAATTTTCAGAATCCTCTGAATGTGCAGATAATGTTGAATAATCTGGTCATTTCTTCCGCCTAGAAGGCAACGCATCCCTAATTATTGTTTACATATTATCATTGTTATTGCTTGAAAGTTCCTTAAATCATAATTTGCATCCCAAGTTTACAGTTGAAGCATTCTAAGTTAGCCTTCTCAAGATGACAAGTGAGAACTTACTGGATCCTCTAGAGGCTGTAAGGGTGAAACAGGGCCAAACGCAGTGCTTTCAGATCCTGACAAAGCCACCGCTAGTCCCATAACCTTGGAGTCATAATTGGATAGCATTCTAGGAAACTGGTGCATATCCTCTTCGTCGATCTCCTGAATGTGCTTTTTGCTGACCCGACTTTTGTCGCTTTTGAACTTTTTTCGCCCGAGATGGGCAGCACCAACCAATTTGCACTTCATGGGAGGACAACCAGTACTATCTAACCAGCATGGAACGTAAAATTGTATAACTCTTGCTGAGATGTCATTGTTGCCATGGCAGTATTGCATGTGAATGGCCAGATCCCTGCAGTATGATGAACAGATAATTGCTAACCAAATTATTATTTCTGCTAAATGTTTTTTCTAGAGTAGTGCAGTGCATATTTGGACATTGTCAGCAAATTCTTTGGCCCAATAATCCTTTCAAAGAACTGGGAGAAGGCAAGAACTGCCGAATGTGCACATTACCAATTTAAAATTGAATTCTTAAGCCAAAAACCAAAAGATTTAATAAAACGATAATGATTAAATCATTCTTACAAGAAAATCATCCTAATGTATAAGAAAAATATGCTAAGCTTTCACAGAGAGGGATCTAATCTAAGAGGGCTTTTAAGCATAATGAAAAAATAAAGTTTATGAAAGTGACGTATTTTACCTGACTCCATTAGTGACAACTACTTCCTTGGCTGGGTCTTTTCCCGGTTGTGAGATCAAACAATCGTCCTGCACATCACAAGCACAAAACATATACGATTATATCAGGCGCAGAAAGTTCAAGATCTGCTTCAACTTTGAGAAAAATCGAACCTCTCACAGAATATAACAGTGGAAACTCACTTAAAGTATAGCAGGAGCATATTTGGAAATTGTGAGGCGTTGATGGATAAACCTTCTAGTAATAAGTACTATATTTTAACAATATTCAGATTTGTTCACTATTTTTTCGAGATGAAACACCACAAATCAGTTAAAAAATATTAACGTCTAAGTTGAATTAAAAGTACTTACTCCCTGGGGTTGCCAGCCACTCTGTGGAACCCACTTCAGATAGAGAGCTTTCCGCAAATCAGCAAGTATGATAGCCTTCGACCCCCCAGGCTCGACTGACTCACTTTGTATCTCCAAAAATTCCTTTCCATTGGCCTTTTCTGAGACTGTAAACTTGCATGCCACAGGCAAGAAGTTCATTAGCTCCAGTGGTGCAGAGATGGTTAAGCGCCAATCCTTAATAGGAACCAACTGACTGCTTTTCCCCACCTCCGTTGCTTTGCACTCGAGACAAAGCCAGACATCATTGTCATTCGAGTTACTGTCACGTTCTTTGACTGCGCAACTTAAAAGCACTTCGGTATTCTGAAGCTCACGAATACGAAGCTCTTTCGAAGGTTGCTTGACTCTACCCTGCTCCAGTTTACCTCTATGTGATACAACAGAACTCCAGCTACGCACAACGCCTGAAGACACCGATCCTATACGAGGCTTTACCTGTAGAATGTGACAATCACTCAGAATGTTAGCCACGATAATCAAAACTTGTTATCAGCAACTTCCTCATAAGCAACATTTTCGGATTGAATGTGAAAAAATTTCAAACCGTTGAGAGCCCTGATCTTGAAGGCTCCTACTTACAATAATCACTACTACACACACTCTACAACAATAACGTAGAGTTGTATTAAGAATTTACTGTAAAACTTCAATCACGCACCAACCGTAGAGCAGTCTCCAGCATCATAAATCACAATCATGTAAGATCTTACCTGAACAACATAGTCTGGTCCTCCTGTACGTAGAGTTTCAATTGGACAGGCAACAGAACTGTGAGGTTCTAAAACTCCAAGCGATATCAACAAATTCTTGCTACTATCCTTGCGTTGCCTCGAACGAACCCACCGGCGACGTCTTACGAATGATGTGTTTTTGTCACAGGTACTAGTTGGTGGCCAATCCCTAAGCGCATGAAAATCATTGGAGTAAGCCCATCCATCGTAATCAACAACTTCAGTTTTGTCGACTTGCCAGTCAGTCATCCAAACCCAACCATCCGGAAGTGGAAGTTGCGGGAATTCCTGCGCAGACAGGGAAGAGGCTCAAAAAGTGAGGATTTTACTTGTACTAATCTTGAACACATAGATCAGTCGTTGTTGCCTCCACTAAGATAATATCGACATAACACCAGAGATTGAAAACCATGACTGAGGCATAATTTAGAAGATTTTCTAAATTTTATACATTACCATTATGTAACAATTAATTTGACGTTTCTTATTGCACTAGTTTGTACATATTTTCAATTAATAAATAAAAGAAACGAAATACGGCACTTCCACATATCAAAATAGCACTTCGACACTTCGCCATATATGCCACTGCAGCTCTACTACTAGCGTTCCTACATAATCCATATTATCATTCATGCGCACTACTGATCATAAATTTCAAAAACATGCAAAGAATAGTAAGTAATACACTAAATTCTAAGTAAAAAAGTTTTTTTTTGTAAATGCATTATATAAATAACTTTGCACAGCCTCATAAGTACCAAGATCAAAATCCTGAGAAATTCTCAAAGGTTTGTACCTTGGAAGATCCAGAAAGGTCTCGAGTGCCAAAATGGCCTGGATCAGTAGGCAACGTCGGATGACTCCATGCTTTTCCAGGTTGTTTCCTTTGATTCTCAAAAACTTCTTCCTCTACAGCATTTTCGGAACCGTTGACATCCAATTCATTACCGTCTTTTTCAGAACCAAGAAGAAAATCTGGACACAAACGAGCTTCAAGTTGATATTCCGTTTCATTCACGACCGTCACCAGAGTTCGCACAAAAAGATGCTTCACTCCGTCGTGGACAACCATTTCACTGGCCAAATAATCCCTCCCTAAGTGCCATGGTGCTGGACCAAGTCCGTAATTTAGTCTTACTGGAGACCAGGGCCCGTTTTTGGTGACCGACACTTCAATTGCCCCAAATTTCTGTGAGCTTTCATTTTGCTGAGACTCTACATCATCAGAATCTTCGTCATCAGCTTCCTCTCCATTCGCGGTAAAAACTTGTGCAGCCAAATTTATAAAACCATTTTGACATCCTTCATCAAGGGGCTCTTTATCCTCGTTCTGTAGTTTGCACAAATCACCATCTCAAATCAGAAAAAAAACCACTACCGGGCAGCATAAAAACTCGCAAATAAATCGATGAACAAATGCACAATAACCAAAAATTGTGCAGCAGATCTATGTTCACTTCGAAAAGGGCACATCCAAGTGTTACGAGACTGGGCAACCAAATCTTCAAAAGATCATAAATTACCTGCTTCCTTTTAGGTGGCTGAAGAGTTACAGATCTAAGAGCAAGGGAAGAGGAAGTGGCAGAGTCACTTTTATCTTCTCTCCATTCATCCATCCCTTTATCAGTAATATTGAATGAGCAATACCCAACAGGTGATCCTGCGAGTGACAGATAAATCACAATATCCATGTCAATACTAAAGATAGACATATGTAGGATACACTATTGTAATTGCAACTATTTGGAAGCTTACGGAACCTGAGTTCTAACGTTAGTTGTTTTTGTGAATAACAGTAAAATTTCATAGTAAACATACCAATGGCGAGGTCGGTAACAACAATCTCGGCACGATTCGCTTCCTGGTAGGTGTATTGCCATCATCGAAAAAGATACTATGTCAACTGAGAATTGAGCTCCGGACAAAGTCTTTCATTACGTTATGTGCTTTTTCTTTCAAAGGGACACAACAATAAAGCTGGAAATAGAAAAACATTTTCAATGCTTCAATTTGCCAAAGTGTATCAGTAACAATCTGAAAAATAAACAGATGAAAGCAGATGAAAACGTACCCCTGATCTAACTTCAAAGACAAAGAGTTCCTCCCAGAAGACATGTGCTTGATCAGTGTTGTCGTCTTTACAGGGATTCACACATCGAGTACGAGCACTCTGGAACTGTGGCTGCTTGCTATTAGATGTTGCATTTATAGGCACTATACGGAGTGCTGCCATATATTCCCTCCCTCCGACACCGTGATCCGCTGGCAACTGAAACCAAAAGTGTTTATTATAAAACTGAAAGACGCTGTATCTACTGACAATCAAACCTTTTCGCACAATTGCATCATCTTCTAGCTGGATGAATTACTACAACATTTAATAAAACGTTGCGTAGTAAGGCGGTATGAGTGAAAAAAAAATATTACTGATGAACTCACACAGCTTTGAAAATATCATGCAGCAAATCGTACATCAAACAATCTTACCACGGCATCACCAATCCGGATTGCCAAAAATTTCGCAGAGCGCCCCTGCACTGTATCGTGGTGAATAGAGTTATTAAAACAACGAGTAACTGGCAACTTAATGGTGACAGTCCCGTTTGATAATAATGGCGCTACTTGAACTTTTCCACTGCCCTCAACCGTTCTTAGCCAGACTTTCTCTCCAATCTCATTGTGTGCCATTATGAAAGAATTCTTGTTGCTTTCATTATCCACGGAAGTATCTGTACTGAGTTTCGACAACCTTCGACTAAGGTTATTCGAACTTGCACTCTTATCCTGCACATTACCAGAACGAGAAGTTTATTGAGCAGGAACATTACGAAACTCGAAATCAAATCATTGAAATCAAAGTAGTGCGTATGAAATTCTAGACAATAACTTACTCTTAGGAAAACTTGTAGTCACGTTCAAGAAAATGTTATATTGATAAGGTGATTCAAATGCACATTGATGTAGCTTGTTTTCACAACAGATGAAAGAGAACAAGAAATTACTAGGAATTCGTGATTTCTAGAGATGTAATAAACAAATCACCTGAAATTCCTGTTTCTTATTGGATTCTTCAAGTTTATTTAACTTCATCCAACTTGAGTAAGCTTCCAACAACATGTTTGCATTGGCGACAGAAATATTAACATTGAAATCACTTTCAGTGTTGATGCGAACTCTGGAAACTGTAGGTCGTACTTTGTCTTGTGGATCACTGTCATACTCGTATCTGAATCACCCATCACAAGAAATCCATTCAGGCTGGAGATCTATCTTCAAAAATCACAACCCTCACCTCTACGCGAGAGCCTTCCTAAGAAGGAATGGGCAAAGTTCACATTAATGAACTAGTACTCAACAAGTTCCATTTTCTAACCTGGGTTTGTACATAGAGAGTAGAAATTTCCTATGTTCAGTTTGCAATAACAGTAGCAGTTGAATTAATAAAGAATTTGTTAATGCAAATATGAAGTCACACCTGACAATCGCAACACAGGGTTCAACAAGAGGCTCCCAAACGTCAAACTTGCTGTTGTACGTAGTAGTTGTCAAAGAGAAATTGAGAACTGTGCTAAACGCCTCCATTCGACCATGCAAGCTTGCTTGAACGCCTGTAATCGATACGTCCAGCAGAGGTGCCATCTACAATCACAAACCAATGTTTCATTGCTTTGGAATGTGAGAGGCCATAGCTGCTCTTATAAAAAAAAAAGGGATGAGCACGTCATATTCTTCGTAATAAACCACGCCAAAAGTCCTCGTTTAGGAAGTGCAACCATTAAATGAACACACGATGTAGAAAAAAGAAAAAAAGTTTCAGAGGCATGTGTGCTCCTAGGAAATTTGAATGATTACTTAAACACTTAGTAGAGTGGAAATAAACTGAAAAGGCGCAAACGTTTATTGCAACATACCAGAAGCTTAATTTTGAGCATAAAATCACAACCAGTGCAAACAAATCAGTTTAAAAACGTTCTTGATACAATCATATCAATGCAGCATCCCCAGAGAATACAAAAATTTGTGCTTACAAAACCGCCGAAATCATCATAGAAAGTCGCAGAGATACTCTTGACTTCCAGAGCCACAGACAAATTGTCCGGCTGTGATTGTCTTCCTAAATTCGCCAACCCAAGGGCACTTTGTGTTGGAGGTCTTCCATAACTTCCAGGCTTAACAAAAAAAGTTTTTGCCTGCAACAAGCAATATAATGTCTGACGATCGTAATATACTACTCTAGTTTTTAACGATTGTACAAGCAACTAGGATAGTTAAGCAAATCTTATGGACGCATCAACCACGCTTCGAAGTGCAGAAAAAGAGTATTGCATCATGATGTGCAGTAATTAAAGAACAGATACAATACTTGAAGGCACAATCTCCAAGAAAAAAATAATAGAATTGTTCCTCTCACCTCGTTCTCTACAGGCCAGATACTCAGCTGTTGCTGTCCTGGTTTCAACGACCTCGTGGTCCACAGACTAGATTCCGCAAAATTAGCACTGCTGACAAGATCATTCCGTACACAACGGATACTCTGCATGACATCTTCATCAGGGCGGGAGTTCTTGCCAGCTATGCAGCCAATTACTGAATACCCTGGTGGAGGAACTGGAATCCAGAAGTAAACACCATCGAAGTGTTTTTGTTTAGAAATGTGAGCCAATTCCTGGAAACGTTCTGGCTTGCTAATCAAACCCCCTTCGTCTGTGTCACGAAGCACAAGCCCTGTACCTGGAGGTTCGTATCTGCATAAAAATATAGAAACGATATTAAGGACATTCCTTTCAAGCTTTTACAATCTATGCAGATTAAATTCGTGGGGAAGGGCTGTTATAATATGCAATAAGCAAAAGAAGACCAGGCATTACCCCTCCACGACTATGTCACCAAGCATGGCACACCCCGATGGCACGATGGGTCGCCAAATGGAGATACCATCTTTTGATCCATTGCCCTTGTTCCACCAAACCAATCTGAACCTCCCCACATTCTCGTATATCCTACCCGATGAGACTACCGCTGTTAGTAACCCAGTGGTGCAAGCTCCCTCTTCGTCTGCAATGACATAGAGAAATCGTTAGAAGAAATTGACACAGGAATCTTTGAAAAGGTACTAGTAAGCATGAGAAGAAACTGAAAACAGACGTTCAAATCAAAGGCGAGTTGCCGTTAATCCCAATCTAGACAGGTAAAGAACGGTGACAAAACAGAACACCAAGCGGTTATCTTTGTGCAGGACTTCCTCCCAGCACAACCTAGTCAAAGACTGAATCAACAAAAACATATACCTTCATTCATAAGAGCAACACAAAGATATTTTATGCTAACCACATCGTCGTTAAGGTGACAACATGAAATATCGTTTTCCATAACCTGCTAATGTGCGACACATGTCATAGAATTTAGTCAAATTCTTAGAGTTTCTAAATGACGCACCAATGGGCATTAATGTACGCGACAATCTTGTTTGTGGATGGTCTGAGCTTGGAACTGTTTCTTTGACAGTGAAAAGACCATATTTTGAGATAGCAAGACGAAGATCATAAGCCTGGGGTGGAATAAATTCCTTCGGATCGTTTTCTAGAAAGAAAGTGCCAATTGAGTTATCGGCACGCCAAAATGCCCACTTATTATGTGAATCCACATCAGCAGACCTGCAATCCCAAACTTAATGAGGACATTTCATGAGCATTTGAAATTGTGAAGAAGAGTCTCAGCATCTACAGTTTCCTCGATTACAACTCCATATTAATTAACCAATTGCGAAATGCCTCACCAACACGATTTGAAGTTACTGTGATGACAAGAATGCTAAAAGAGTTAATCTGCAACGTTTAACTACTGTCTCTTTTAACATCAACAACATCTGCTTCTAATCGACAGTAGACACATTAAATATGTTCAGTTGTTAGAAGGAAATCAACTCACCTACGATGTCCCTTAATGTTGATACAATCTCGCATTGAACATGGTGATATAAGTGCATTCAAAACGCAGATAGTTGCTGATGGAGGAGGTTGTTCCTGTCCTTTCCAAACCACACAGCCAAGAGCCACATAACCTTCTGGTGGAATTGGCAACCAGACACAACAGCCTTTCTTCAGCGTGTCCTCGTCATCAGATATGCTGATGGCAGCATCATCCAGTTCTTGTTTAATACTACGCTCACTCAAGTGAGAAGACCTTCCATCCACGCGAGACTTCACGGAATCGTCAGAGGCAAGGCCCATTGAAGTCCATACACATTTAAATCCTGTAGGTCTCTTCCCTCTCGCTAAGGCCATGTTGATTGTTAAGACGCCCTTCGATGGGGGCTCATCCCTGAAATTTGACAACATCATATGTCAATAGATAATAATTTTCATACAGAAAGCACTTAAAATAACTTCTGAAAATCATGAGATTTTTTCTTTAGTAAACTTACAAGGGTGTTACACAGTCACCAAGTACCGCAAATCCAGGCGGTGGTCTAGGGCGCCAAAAAGCAAGGTGCGACCCACCTGCTGCAATTTCAGAGTCTACAAGACACGCTTCAGAGTTAAACCCTTTATTTAATCACAAAGGTGACCACAATAACAACGACCGAGCAGTTTACGACTAATTATTTGGAGCACAGGGTAGACATTTTAGTATCTACCTAGAGAGTTTCTGTTTTTCGAGATTTTTCTCAGAAAAATATATATTTATGTATATATATATAAACCAACTTTGAAATGCGTAGGAACAGCCTTACCATCATCTCCCCATATCTTTTCAAATTCTGAACACTCAATAGTGACCTGTTCAGATGTGATGCGCATAATAGACATGACATCATCCTGTAGGCGTAAAATGAGCTGGAGAATACTGAAGGAGAAGTTCATATAGATCTCTGTCATGCTGACGTGAATGTTTTGTTTCCCTTCCACCTTTGAATAGCTTAAACAAGCATCAAAAGGCTCCAAAACACTCACACCACTTGTTGACTCCACCGTCAAACCATTCAAATTTGCTGCAAGTTCCATATCATCTCCCTTCATTGAAAACCTGCAGTAACAGATGAAAGCGAAATTATCCACTAAACTGGTCCTCCAAAGTTCCATACATGTCATAACAGGATTACAGTTAAGAACTTAACAAGAGATAAGGAAATGTATTTATACACGTTCATCACGCAGATATTGAAGACGCTACATAAATCTCAAGAACTCAGAAAACGGATAATGCTTGAGATCACCACACTACGTCACGTGACACTCTTTAACAGAAGATTAGACATATACCATACATAGAACATCTTCAAAATCAAGAAAGTAAGAACACAATGACGATGGAACCTACAAATGTCAGAGAATTTCTTTTGTACTCTTGATTAAACTACTAGTCATATGCCCGAGCGCAAGATAATTAAGCCAATACTTGATTGCACAACAACCTGAGGTCATAAAAAGAATACCTGGCAAAAACATTCATACTGGCACGGAGATGTCGCTCAGGAAGGACCAAAGTTTCGGCTTTTCGACCAATACTGTCATAAAGGGTAAGGTCTGGGCCAATTGCCTGTCATGCATTTAGAGCCTGTCAATACTTCAACTAAATGGCAAGCATAAACACTATTCTGGAGTGAGATTTTCAAGAGTAAGAGACAAAGGAGCTGGGGCCAAATCGACAGACGGCAACAATTCAATCCACATTAACAATCACGCTTATGTCAACCTGCTCGTTTATAGAGTTTCACTCTCCTGACATGTCTAATCCAAGATACAAAATAAATGATTAATTTAAATTTGCAAACAACCGAATGTAGCACACCAAAAAGATCATCGAAGTTCCAAATTATTCATCAATTATCTACTTAGTAAATCTTAATCAAATTGATTTCTCAATTTAGGCAATCCCGAAAAACATCGTAGTTAAAAAAAAAAAAACGATAACCATCTTCATGTATGACACTGGCAGGTGTTAGCGATTCCTTCCGAGCCATAAGTAACATCATAAATTGAATACATTAGTTCTAATTTACGTTAATGAGAGGGGTATTCTTAGGAAATTGAAAAAAAAGAGAGACCCCAGCATTATTCCATGTTCTTGAAGACACAGTACCTGTAAGTCAAAAACAATCTCCACAGGTGGCTTGTCATCAGCTTTTTTCTCAGTATCCTTTTTATCCTCTACATGTGATGAAACGGTGCTCGATGCATCAGAATCCTCAGGAGGTCCTTCTATGTAAACTCCATCTTCTTTTGATGCTGAATAGCTGCTGTTGCTGCCGAGATAAAGAGAAGAATCCAAGTAGTTGCCATTCTATCACAAAAGTAATATTCAAGATGAATTGCTGACCTTTGAGTATCTAATTTATAGTTCAATCCAAAAAAGCCATCATGTGAAGTTAGGATGCAATTACTGCATGCACTGTATTGCTAAAGCTTGAGATAGGATTGAGACAAAAGATCACGACAACGCCTAAAGAGATAGCCAGGAAAATACCTGAATGATCACATTCCTAAACCGCAATCTTTTACCATCTCCGACGAAGATTATGGCCTCTGGAGAAAACATAGACAAATCTTCACCATGTCGGTTTAAAAGCCGCAATTTGTTTCCTTGACCGTCATATACATACTCATGCACACCTTCATGGTCAGCAACCAGAGGTCTTTTCGGTGAAATTCGAATTTCCTTCGTCGTTTGTTTGTATATGTGGTCATTAAGAAACATCCCATTCTTCATGTCAAGTGGATTTTCGTCACCCTTCTCCGCCAGCGTTTCGTGCATTGATGGGACGAAAAATTCCCCAACTGCTAATAGAAAATCAAAGGCAACCACTAACCGAGGACGCTGAATACGGAGAGAAACCTGTTGTTGGGTTGGACTAAGTTTGGCATCAACCACAAGCATTGTCAATCCGGATCTGCAGATTACGACTTCATTGTTCAGAAATTTTTCAACCAGAGATGGTAACTGCACGACGAATTAAAAGCAGGTATCTATTTTGTTGGAGAAAGATTGAGTATATCGACAAGACACACATCTATATTAAGCATTTAGGACGTCCATTGTTTTCAAGATTATCAACACTAAATACCATAAGAAAACCGGGATTGATTTGGATCGCTGCTGTTTATTTGACCGAAAAACTGTAAAATGTTTCCAGTTTCACATGATTGCTAAAATATTTTAGGAAAACGAAACCATGTCAAGCGGCGAATATAAGTCATATATAGATAGCAGTATCATACCCCCATCCACGTGGTGACTGTGAAGTTCCAACTGCAGTGTCATTCGCTTTTTTCTCTTTTCTGTTTCTTTTAGCAAGACCAGGGTCACCTTCCAACGTGTTCGGTGCTTTATCATCTGCATGGCCAATCATGTATTGCATCTCTGGATCGGTTCCTTCACGTTCATCTTTCAGACTAAGCCTTTCTAGTGATGCCATCACAACTGAAGCTCCAACGTTGTTTGACTTATATGACGCCCACACGCCAATTATCTGCAAAGAGTAAACAAAACATAAGATGTTGAACAAAATAGCTAACTATATCAAAAAATCGAAGAATTATTTTTAGCGAAAATTCCACACAAGTTCCTCTAGCAGCTCACACGATGTGAACTGGAGATTCTCAAGCATGATTTACTTCTTTTTTAATAACCTCGATCTCTCTTTGAAGCCTAACCTGGACAGTCGCAAGAGATGCATCTCTGGTGCCACCAACAAATAAGCGCAGTTCAACCAGATCAATCCCCACTCCAACTTTGATCGTAGTGTATGGCTTCTCAGATGACGAGCCATTCCCTTCTTGAACTTGATCATTCGCTGCTTGTGGCTCCTCAGCAACAATGTCTCTACTACTAGCTCCTTCTCTATCCAGCTTTTGAGCTTCATCCTCGGCCATGAGCTTTTCCTGGGCTGAAGGAGTTTTATCATAGAGTGTAGGAGGTAAGTCTGGTGTTTCAGCCATGTTCTGTGTCACGCACTCAGTTATCACTTGATATTCCTTGTCTGAAAGCGATGCCCGAAGCTCTTCAACCTGCCGGCGAAGACATGTTTAAATATTAAAACAAGGTAGCGCCTTCATTAGCATCCTCATGGTCGATGCGTAAAATTAGAGGTTTTCGCGTTCATGTTCAAATACCACTGATATTCGAGGTTAAAATGTTTACATTGTTACCCGAGCAATGAAGATACGGTTTGATACAAATTTAGATCCATAAAACTCTCACCTCAGATCTATTTCGAAAATCCTTACAAGCAAGGAATTCAACGAGTTCAGGCCATACTTATCAACTTCAGGGCACACTTATACTTGAGGCCGATATTCAACTCTGAAACTTTAACAAACGTGAACAAGATTGGACAGCAGCTTAAAAACCGCGTCAATGGTAACCAGATACCGAGCTCGATCCACATAACCAAGAGCTCATGTCGAAGTGACTGGCAATACAAGTAGGCAATACTTCGAATTGGATCATTCGAGTAAAGAAATTAAAGCACAGACAGACGCATTATTAATATTTTGATGCAACAAGGCGTGTACGGCGTTATATCTGGGTTCACACAGAAGAGCTGAAAAAGTACGGATCATAAAATTATACCTTGACTGTTGCTTCAATAACTGGCACCTTATGCCAAAGATCTCGTAGGGAGCGCCTGACCACAAGCCCAAACCCTCTTGCTCGATCAAAAATCTCACTCCCGACTTCGCCTCCAAGTCCAACAGTTAGACTGACATCCTCAATCTGCATGTCCGAGTTCAAAATCGATCATCTAGGTTAAATTGCTCATGCATCGACATCAATACTCAAGTTTTTCTGACCCTTTTCATCTCAAGTTCCTATTTATTATCTTGTACTCAAAAAGAAAACATCCATTCAACATCACTGCATCAAGGGTGAACTTGTTACATCGAGCGTGATTGTTTCTAAGCGAATAGCTTCGAGCTGCTCCTTCCTTCCGCCAAACCATTCAGAACTGCTACGTATGTTGATATGCAGAATATCAAGCTCCATAAAACTGTTGATCAGCAAATAGAACTCATAAGAACTGCATACTGTAACCAGGTAACAAGAGAACAGTGAACAAAAAATTGATCATAAACTAGAAAATCAACAACATGTTGACTAAGAACAGATTGAACTCACTCAGTACTATAAGTTCCACGAGGCATTATGATGATGGGCTTAGATAGAGAAAGATCCAGCTTCACTGATGGTTGTCCCTGAATCTCTGACTGAGAGAAAAGCTTTTCGTAGTCAGATGCGTGATCTTTCAGCTTCATTACATAGTCCGAACTTGGAGGTACAAGGCCCATGAAATAAGCAGTTATCTGCAAGCAGCATTAACATTTAAGGCTTTGCAAACAGGATTATGCATTTGCCTTTTAACTATAAAAAATACAAACTTCAGTTTTACTGTTACCCACCAGATAGTTGGACCATCAAAATACAACTATGAAACGTAGCAAGGCATATTTTGGGGACAAATATCTGGAACTCACCTCCTGAATGAAGCGGTTGAGATAAACGAGCCGCACTTCAGATAGTTTACCGGCAACACTGAATTCGTAACCCTCATAGTCAAGGTCATCTTCGTTAAAAGACTCAAATTCCAGCTGTCCACATACATTCCAAAAAAAGATAATTTAAATTATTGAATCATAATATCTAAAACTTGCATAAATGCCTTGTTGTATGTAGAGTATTTAGCTCACAATAAAATGTTGAGAACTCTTTGTTCGAAATGTCAACAAAAAAGCAGATCCGAATAAAGGCCGATTAGTTGCAGTGTAATGGACTGAAAGTTTATCACAAAGTATAACCATAGATTATGCTTTAACGAGTGCATAGCTTGTACGGAGCTAGCTAAAATCTTAACAGTAGTTTAAAATAGAGCGATTCTTAGAAGAGTATTATTCCTGCAGATAAACATGAAGCAATTCTGTAATCACATGTTGAGGGAGAAAGACGAAACCATCCACAGTCCATCCACCTATGGCAAATCTCGTCTTTTCAACAAATAAGAAATTGGATCACGGAGTGAATAACAAATAACTCAAAAGAGGAACTTTAGTGGATCTGATTTTAACCTCAATGAAAGAAGAACCGCCTGGATCTCTCATGTCACAAATGTATTGATAAGGGATGTCTCTATAATGATTGTCCTTCACGTTATCATCGCTTATGCGAAGATTACCTAAAGTGACCTTGACTCCCCATGAAGCTGGATAAATCTGTTCAAAATCGCAAATTACGCCAGGTCATTCATATATAAAACCTCGACTTCTTTCAATAGATTTCAACCTTGGAAGAACCAGACGAGCAAAAGTAACTACTGGAATAAACTAAAAGATACCCCGTGAAAAAAAAACTTCAGATGTGCATTGGCAAAGAGATACGAGAATAAACGAAACAAATTGTCAATGGAATATTCATGAAAATTCAATAGTACCTTCACATCAGTATGAAAATTATCTTGAGAAAGAGTTGATAGCTGAGAGCCATCTTCGTTGTTCAAGACGATTTCAGCAAGCTCCATGTCTAACACCAACAAAAATACCACCCTGTCTTTTCCTTTACCCAAAAGTCCTTTGACAACAGAGTCTTTTCTCTTGGGTGCAATCTTGGGATTGCCCAGCTCATCCACATCTTCCACCACTTTCGGATTAATCGTAGTTACAACCCCGTCATTATCTGCAGAAGAGGCCTGAGGATTTTCCTTATCATCACCCTCAATTTTATCACCCCCTCCGTCCACTGCATCTTCATCTTTCCCAACTTTCCCAACGTTACCTGATGCATCAGGACTGTTTTTGGCATCTTTTTCTGTAGACTTTTGAGAACCTTCGTTGGCATCTGCAACCTGCGGAGGCGACTCGTCATCCCGCTTAGGTTGGACATCCGCAGTAATGGCTGTCACAAGATCCAAAGCAGCAATAACTGTCGGCCGATTGCAGTAGAATGTTAGAGCAGACAATGACAGCCGCACCTGTTAAGACAAACGTAAAGCGCTCAGAAAATCTACAAGTATGACGATTAGATACCAAAACAAGAAAAATATACAACATGGAATTCTAAGTTCATAAACTGCCCCAGAATGTATTAGAAAAGGTATACTGAACACAACATAAACATATACGCAGAACTGGATAAGAAAACCATATTTAATTCATAGCCAACCTCTTTATCAATTGAGGCATACGTAGGTGAATCTGGAGAAGTCATAATGATTTGGGCCTTCACAAAACTCTGAAGCTCTTCTTTTTCAGTCACGTCTTGACCATCTTTACCTGGCTGTGGTGAAGCAGATCCCGGCAAAAGGCCTACCTCTCTCTTAAAACTTGGAGGTTCACCATGATCATCCTCACCGTCTTCAACATCATAGAACTTTGACGCAGCATCGGAACTACTGCTCTGAAGTTTGTGTGAACTAAAGTTGCTTGAGCTACTTTCATAACCGCTTTCATCATTAGCATCAAAGAATCGTTCATCTCCAGATATACCATGATGACTATGTTTCGACCTTGAATGGCCTGATTTTCTTGAATTGTTACCTGAACTATTTGCAAGCTTCTTCTTACCTCCATTGCTTCCAATGCTCTGAAGCTTACGATTTTCTAAAGTATTCTGGTCTGAATGGTGTGAAGACGATGATTTGACCTTTTGGTTGTCATCCTTCTCTTTTAGGTCTCTTTCTTGCTTGATATAGGACCGAGCCAAGAAACGGCACGAATGTGAAACGTGACCATGGAATTTGTCCTCAATCTCTAAAGCTTGTAGTACAGCTCCGACTAACATGTCATTTTTTCTCATAACAAATTGCACCTGCAGGAAAAGCGTTAAGTGTGTTGCTATTATTTCAGTACTGAAGGCCATGCATGTATTCTGGGCGAAAGTATTATACGGTTAAACTCCTCAATAGAACCACCGTCAAATGTAAGACGCAATCATTTTATTCTCATCTTTGGTAGCATAATATACTTGCTACGCAGCTGCCACATCTCAAGATGCTCCGATTCAATGCAGCAAACTAGGTACAATGGGGATAAAAGGCTTAAATTTGAAGGAAGAACAGATACAGCGAATCTGCATGAAAGTCAATCACAGCCGATTCTATTAAAGAAAACTAGATATTTATTACCTTCGTTCCAATAGCGCGGAGCTCCAATAGTGGCTTTTCGGGTACAAGCAACAGCTTTGGTGACGTGTAATCAATCTGCAAAAGACCACGTTACCATAATTGAATTTATTAGTAGTTTTCTTCTTTTCATAATGATACAATCGAGAACAAGACGATATAAAAGACATAATACATGAATTTTCTCAGTTTTGGAAGTGGTATTTGCAACAGTTTTCCTTCAAATACACGTGAGTTCATTCCAATACTAAAACAAAACGGTTTACCAAGAGTAATCATAAATTCCAGCAATAAGGTTAATGACACAACTCAACGTTAAAGAAACTTTAGGTGAAAAAATCATCTTACATCACGACTGTTGCTTATGACAATTTTCAATTCATTGAGAACTCCAGTCAAAAAGATCGTTTCTTGCTCAGCCCGCTCTACGTGGTCAACATCTTCCGATTCAGAGCCATCTCCCACTGAATCATTACTTTCACCCTTTCCACTTTGAAGCCCTGTAACTGCACCAGGGGACTAAAATCCCGGAAACAAACGTGCGTTAGTACGAGCTTCCGACTGAGCAAAACATCTTCATCCTGACATCGTCCAGCGGAAAATGGACTTCGCAACTTTTGACAATTTCCTAGTCGCCCAACAATACGAGCATATGATGCTTCGCCTGACGAAACAAGAGTCCACCTTCCATATTCTAGACCTCGAATTAGACGAGAAACATCACTCGAAATTTTTTCAGCGAAGCATTAAGAAAACGTAAACTATTAGAGCTAGACCCTCTCTAATGGAAGACATCTAGTCTCTGGCTCTGCAAAAAGGTAAGTGAAAAGATGTTATAGGAAAATACAGTGTTACGTATGCAGTCATCTCTGAATGTACACACACGATTAAAATTCTAAATGGCCATTTAAAACCAAGAACCATGACTTACTGATGCACGATATATGGCCCCTGCAAATCTTCCTTGCCAGGTGTTTCTTGAATTTTCATCCTCAAAACGCAGCAGAAGAGCTCCTGCAGATTCGGTCACCTGAGTTCAAATGCAGGCAACAAGCAAATTTAGTACATTAACAGAACTCTGCAAATCCAGCGATAGCCTAGTTACTGCTAACAAGCCATCCATGCCAGGTAGTTACACGAAATTAGGTACCTTATTTTCTAGTTGACCAGCATCACAAATCGCAATGACATTTTCCAAACCGCCCAAAGATTCCTTAGGAACATTGAAGACCTTCTTAGCCAACAGGCTACACATACAAAACAATGTCAGTTGATATGAGACAGAGTGCACACTTCAACCATCAATCCTGATATAAACAAAGTGCGCAGGCTTTGACTTTAAAAAAAAACATCAAAGAGAAATAATTTTGAAGAATTAAATCTTTAACTCAAGGCACTGCATACTCATATTGAGATGTTGAAAAGTAACTTACGAGTGATAAGTTTTGTAACTTAGTGATGTGTCGGATTCTAATAAGTAAAGAAAAGGCCCCGCTAACGCACCATAGCGATCCTCCCATTTAGCTTCTCTGTGTCCCACCCCCTACATGCACAATAGAAGTGTAAGATAGCAGCCTGCATTTAGAATTGTTAGTAATTACGAACGATGAATCGCCTCAACAAGTGCATGAATCGTGACAAAGCAATGTTGCAGTGAATACGTGTAAGTATACTGTAAATATCAACAGCGAAAAAAGGCAACAGTACAGTATTGACGAACATAAACTTACCTTCCAGGAAAGAACCATCATTTTCCCATCAAAATCTGGAGAATCCCATGGTCGAAACGCTGACTGGGTAGCATCGACATCAGGACCACCAGAAAATACCTCAACTACTTGCATTATTCGATGGTATCGCGCAGGAGAGAACTGGAATCCAACAGACTGCACCCTTATTGCCACCCTTGTCGTTGGGTATTTCGGATGTGGCACACAGATCTGTACCACCAAAATTTTAAGCATCAAAATTTTTAGTAACAAGATAGATTTTGTTAGCAATAAAATAAAATCAATATACAGCAATGTAACGGCGTTAGATGTCAGACTAATAGAACTGAAGATCCAATATGTTGCTATCAATTACATTGTGCAATGAGCTAACACATGATCTGCAGCGCAACTTAACTCGAAAAAATTCCCATTTGCAACGTACATCGCTGTTCATGAATAAATGTAGGATTCACCTGTTCAAGCGCAACTATCATTCCAGTTTTCTCCAGCATAGGCAAGAAAAATAGGTCTCCATCATCAGAACCAACTTTTCGAAAACTCTCGTTCGACTGACTGTCGTTTGAGCCCGTAGTCACCTCTTCAACATTATTACTAGCACCATCTTCTTTTCCTTCAAAATCAATCGTTCCTTTATTTTCACTGTTCTCAGAACTTTCAGACCTTTCAGGCAGACGTGACGAATTATCATTTACAGCGCGAAGCTTGCCAGTCGCAGAATTCACAATATACTGCTTCCGCCAATCAAAATCACCATCTACTAAGAAAGCTGAAATGTCTTTTAGACCAATGCGGAAGCGCATGTACAGTTGATTTTCTTCCGACGAGTCATCAATGGAGCCATCAGTCTACAACCAAAATAAAATTGAGTCATTCAACAATTCAAAAGCTCCCATTGCCTACAAGCAAATGTAATCATTCAAAGAAACTAGAACGCTGCGTCAACATAGAAGAGTACTATCAGAACATTACTACTGAAGGGGTAAAATAAAAATCGAAAAAATAAATCAACAGAAGAGCACAGACGTACAGGCAAAGTTTTGATGCTGAGATAACCCAAGTCGAGCAACATTTTGCACTGATGCTGGCCATCAGGATAGAAATCTGTCGGTATAGTAACCTTAGGAGCAGCAATGTCCAAGTCCAATAAAAACCTGAAAAATGTCGCATTTTAGGTCACAAAGAGTAACAAATGCAACACTGCACATGAAAGATGCATCTGCTATTTAAGATCATGCAGTACATCTACTGTACTGCAACAAACTACGTGCACTTTGCAAAGGCCAAGCTAACAGACTGAATACAAGAATCAGTTGGTTTGATGCCCAACTAAGACAATGAAAAAATTGATAATTTTCTAAAATTAAATTCCAACAACCTTGCACCCACGTTGATGACTCAATCGTATGAGAACACTATTAAGAGGATTTCCTTACTTAGGCTTGTTCTTCAAAGCGTCATTCAGTTGTTGTTGGGCGTTCTTGGAGACTTCATTCACAGTTGACTGCACATTTTAACAACTCTTGAGAACTAATGATGATGTACCAGGAGTTGAACTCCAAAAAACCGATAAAGATAAGGGAGAGAAACTTGAATAATATGTTCGGGATTCATATTCGAACGCGCCATTTTCAGATATCGTTATTGGAACCAAAATAAAGCAACTTTCACTTGACACTAACTTAGTGTGCTGGGAGTACTACAAACCTGCAAGGCTGCTGCTGTCTGAAGAGCAACATCCCGGCTCACAGCTTCTTTACTCGAAAAGAACTGCGTGATCCTACGTATACTTTGCATTCGCACCTGTAAAACACCCACAATTGCCTAGTAAATAAATGAACAACCTTTGATGATGCGAGGAGCGTTTACGAGTATACAGGATACAATGTACTAGAGATAGAACTCCCATACCAGTAAACTAGACGAATACACTCATTGCAAGGACAAGCGGCAAATCTTGCAGATAAGCACAAAGATACAGGCAGAGAAAGTTAGACTACATACGGTTACATAGCAGGGAGCAGCCTTAGCCTCCAACGACCAATCCAATTCGGTGTCCCATGGGTTTAATTTGAATGTCCCATACAAAGATTTCTCATCATGAGCACTCTGCAATATAATACAGAGCGAACACTTCTGTTCAGGTTTTCTTTACAAATGACGGAGGAAATAACAATATATGTATATGCACACGTGCAAACATTAATGTGTTTAAATGGAAACTCAAATCAAAACTATTTCGAAATTTCTTCAAAACAAGAATCGGCATTTAAAAAGAGCGTCAGTAAATCTCGTCTACGATGATTTCAATTGATGGTTGCACAGGTACCTCTCCCAAAAGTCCTTCCGGAGTAGAAATCTTATAGGAATCCAACCCCACATTGAAGATCTGAGTTTCAGGGTAGAGTTTGACCCCACACCCAAGACCTTCAGCTGTGAGCGCTAAGATAATTTCTCCATTTGAGGAGATCAACTTTGTTCCATTGTGTCTCATTTGGATTTCCACCAAAGTATGTAGCATATTGGGTTGACCCTCGCTAGGGACCATAGGAGATGGTTTGCCTTCCTCATAACCAATGATTTGATTCACTCTTTTCCAGTCATCATCTGAAAATTCTTTGCTGCTTGCATCACTACCACCACCACCACTACCACCCCTGTGCACACAGGATAATTATCTCAGAAAAATAACAAAGTCGTCTACCAACACTGAATAGGCTCATTACGTTGACCCGTACTCTTTTCGAGCATTCTTACTAAAATCCAACCATAACATGCATATTTATGGTCATTTAAAGTAGATTTCTGACACGCAATTCACAAAGATAACCAAAGTAAGTAACCTTCGTTCTAATGTAGATTAGACTGGAAAGTTAGGTGTCATAATCAGAAAAGTAAATTAATTCAACAGTACTTACCACCCGAATGACCACCAGCTTCGTTGAGCTTGACGTCTTTCCTCGCCCTTTTTTACCTCCTCATCCACATATGTATGAGCCAACATTCTAAAAACACCAAAAATAAAGTAAATTTGCCTGCAATAATGCATGCTTGGCAAGCTAATTCGAATACTAAGCTGATCAACATGACTCTCAAAGAGCAAGGAATCCAGAGCAGCGGAACTTACAAGACCAACATCATCAAAGACAATTGCAGTTTACCAAACCCTACATCGCATTCACATAGAGAAACCAATCACCTCCATTGAACAATGATATCAGAATCAAGCTGCCGATCCAAATCCTTGATTTCCTTGTTGTCATTAATAGACGTTGCCTTTGGATTTGCTTTAAGAGCTGCAATGTATTTTGACACGTATTCTTTGCGCATTCTGGAGTATGACAATATTTGATTCCATGAAAGGCGGCCACTGTAAAAACAATATAACAAAGAGTTATTTGGAACTGGTTCGCGGCAATCATATGTTGATGAAGATAATAGTCTCAATTGTGTGCATAATTCTGAACTTCACAGAAGCCGCCTCAAGGGATCGGATAGACTGATCACAATTACAGGACTTCGATTCTAAATCCGCCTATTTACTAAGCCTTAACTTAAATGCAAAAAATAAAATAAAATAAAATAATAAAAATCAAAATTAAAAATGCAATAATTTTAAATGCATGTCAGCTCAGGATAGGAAGAGCAGTGTTACAATCTGTAGAAAGAACAAAGATCCTTCATAAACATCAAAGATCTGCAGCCGCTATGATAAGGTGCCTAAAATACACTGATGAGCTTCGGAATTATCAACTTTAGAATATGATCATTTCCGTAATAGCAAGCTTCAAAACAAAAATCGTTCATTCAGCCAACTAAAATAAAAGAATCTGAACATGGACACACCTGGCCTTCTTTTGGTCCTCCGACACAACAGTACATAAATATTTCCACCAAGCTTTCCTGTCTTCCTTAATGCTTCTGTTGGGACGGTAGTGTGCGTATTGAACTCGTTTACTAAACATCGAAATATTTTCAGCCAATTTCAATGCATCTCGATATTGTTTCTGCGTTACCAAAGCGCCATTAGAATATTGTACCACACTACTCTGGAAAAAGTATTCAGAAAGATCACATGATAACTGACCAAAACACACACAAATTGGCTTCAAAAATAGTGGTACAAGGATGAATGTCAAACTCTAACGCACTGCAAGTAGATATTATCATAGCGACACACTTAGACCAGCTCACGCAAAACGGACACAAATAGTTTAAATAAGATTTAACCCAAGTCGGGTTTAAGGTGAAAGGTATGTTAAGCATATCCATACCTCATTCAAGCTGATCGTAACATCGTCAAGAATAGCGAGAGCTTTTTGAGCAGGCTTGTCAGGGCTGCGTGTATCTTTCTGTCCAAGTTTGAAATATCTGGCAATGCCACCAACTGGTTCAAGCACATAAGTGTGGTCTTTGATCCATGGAGGCTTACCTCCTTTGTAAGCAGATGGCTCCTCCTTAATTCCCGGTAAGAATACCTGAGGCAGGAAATACAATCACGTTAGCTTACTTCATACACCAGCGTGACAACTCTTATTTTGTTGAAATTGGATCAAATGTGCTACATCAATTATTAGTTAATGAAAATATTTTTAGTAAAGCGGCTGTTGATGTAGAACAAATCAACTACTTGAAAGTATGTAAAACGAGTTTAGTACCTGACTCCAATCCTTCGGCGCAAGATCCTCCCATGATTTTTCCTTGGGCCACGGTTTAGTGTCCGTGTCGAAATAAAAGGATAATCGATTCAGCTCCCCAGCCTGCTAGGTTAAGTATGATGAGATAATGCCCCAATGAATGGAAGGTAACTTCTGCATATTGCTCATGAATTCAACTCACATTACCTTTGAAAGTACTCAAATACACAGATCTCATAAATTTAGATGCAACTTAGAAAACTCGCAAGGTTTTACTTCTCAAAATTCCTAATACGCATGTTAGAGAGTACGCGTCATGTCGATTAACAACGTATTCCCCATTTGTAAAGGAAAAGAGTTTCATTTTCAAAATTCTCATATGTTAGTAATCCTTTGCAGGATGTTCAAAGTAATGGAAAACATAACAAGGGGATTCAGACTTGAAAGACAATCAACATAGCATGCAGTCGAATATCAAACGTAGGTAAACGACAGACCTAGATGAAAATGAGCGATTAAATAACAGTTGACGTAGGTGGTCCACAACGGTCAAATACGCTATAGATAAAACTCTACAATGGTTTCGCGTAAACCTTCCAGGTCCAACATAGCTACTCTATCCTTCCTAATACGAAGACTTGTTATAATAATATACTTCAAATCACAAGTTCCACTTGCCTTTTGTACACGGTCAAGTGCTCCACCAGTGACAAATGTCTCGTTGCCATCTTCATCCACAGTGACAGCAGCTAGTTTAGCTAGTGTCAATCCCGCAGCAAACGGGTGCCCAGCATTGCTGCGATTAAAGGTTTCGTTGACTTGTTAATACAACACATCTTTCAAGACAGGCCTCACAGCAAATTACTCCGCAGGAAAGGACCCAGAACCAATTAAAGTTACTTGGTATCCTCTATTACCAAGTATCTAGATAAAGGGAAAATAGCACAGTGGTAAGAATTTTATTTCCAACTGTTTTAAAGTATGACAAAATCATTCGACGCGTTGATTGGCTAAAGGGTCAGAAGTTTAGATGCTACGATATCCATACCTCTCTTCGTCCTCGTACCGAATATGAATGTTGGTGATGGACAGCTTCAAGTTACCAATGACAGTCGTAATTAATGAACCCAGCCATGAGGAGTTGTTCTGCGAGACACAATCCCACATTTTGAATCAACATCAACCTCGAAAACAGACAGCTCGAGCCACATCGCAATCTTACGTGGAAACGAACTGTGACAGACTCGATTGATGAAATTCAAATCATACAGCCAATTATATTCGGTAAAAAAAAAATTAAAGCAAAACACAACAAAACAAATCTCTCGAAAACAAATCAGGATATTCCAAGTGGACTCCAGAAAAAACAACATCTAGTCCCACAATTTTTAAAATAACACAGAGAGTTAAGAGTGAACCGCTTCTTCAGATTTCTGACTGTTTTCTGTCCTACTTGTCACCAGCTTATCTTCCTCTCCCTGCAGATCCCACATCCTGCATAAGAATTCCGCCGTGCTTCGAATACCACATAGTTCCCACCTTTAATGGTTATAAAGATTAAATCCATGTACCAAACTCTCCGTCAAAGAAGTAACAGCCCCTAGCTAACCTACAATCGTATACACGTCAACGCAAAATTTGAGCTCTGTTAACTTTGAGCTATACATCGATCTAACACATTATCAGCATTTCCGCATGTTCATGGATAAAAGAACCAAATTCTAAAGCGCCGCATTACGAACGTCGAAGAATCTTGTCAACTGTGCGACGATTTCATAGGATAACATGAAATAAACTCATAGCTTTGATCATGCTAAAACACTTTTGAACTTGAAAAACAAGGTATGTCATGATCTTGCTTTTTTACATTCAATCCTACAAAGCAGCCATCTGCAAATGTGGATCAGCTAATTGTGAATGAAAGAAATAGACTGCATCAGTAAAGTGAACGAGCTGTGCAAATCAGCTTATTTTTCTTTACTGAAGCAGTCTGTGTCGTACCAGAATCCAATTGCTTGATGGCCTATCTGAAATAAGCACCCACTCAAAACCTCGTGTAGAACTGATGAAACTAATTACGAAAATATGACGTATTTGACCCCAAGAAGAGCGCTTGCAACCTAACAAACAGTACATGGCCAATAGGTCTGAAGATCCAAGTCAATATGATGAGCCATACCCGCACTCGACGATTCTTTGCTTCTTGAACTGAATCAGCGTCACCTCCTTCCACGTTTGTCGCCGGCTCGGCTAGTATAAAAATGCGGTCAAGCTCAACTACCACTGGTTCTTGTCCGAGACGACTCCACGGTACCTATATTTCGCACACTTATTAGTTACATCTCGATGAAGGTAACACAGAATATAAGGAAAGGTCTTGGTAACATACAGTCTTGTACATGGTGTATGTAAATTCTTTCACAACCGACTCATTTCAAACGAGAGCACTTTCCAAGCCTTCGATGAAGATGTACAGAAACATACGCTTCCAATTTGATTTCAATCAGTGCGACCCACAACAAGTCTGTAATCCTACCCCGTTAAATTAAATTAGGACAACCCTGAAATTAGATAGAGTGACTACCAACCTTTAGCTTCACGGACCCAAGGAACCCAGCCTTGACTTTAATAGGCAGCTTCAAAGCATTGAGAGCCTCTGGTTTCAGCTGCATATTCGTGAGCTCCACATCTCCTGCACTCAAAATAGAACAAGCTAATATTAGTGGAACTTGGAGACGGTAATTGATAATGAATGCAATAAAAATAATAAATAATAAATAAAAAGCAACCTCACGTGAATGATTGTACAACATCGAAATAAATTCCACAATTGCTTAAATTACGTAATCTCTAAATGTTCAGTAAATTTCATCAGTTTATGAAAGGTTCGTAAATAAACTGATCGAAGAAAGCGAACAGACAGTCATGATGCAGAACAAACAATCCACGGTCCGAATCAGTTTCAAAACTCAACTATTAAAAACGACGTAAAATTCTCAGTGCGTTCAATAGTCGCAGTACTACTAAACAACGGTGCTAGAAACCTCCCAAAGAGGATAGGATTAGAAGTTTTCTACACTTGGAATGGTTACAGTACAAGGGTAGTTTCGTATTGATGGGGAAAAAAACAGGGTTCAGGGTTTAATATAAAACGTCGAAAAGAATGTTTGTCCCTGCATTCACTCAAGGAAAAGGCGAAAGCAACAGAATCGCATTCCGGATTGTGAAAGGGATGTGCTGAATTACTACAAGGATCTCTACCAAGATCTTGAATTGTAGTATTAATGGATCGTTGAACAATTCAGCGACTGAAACTTACAAACAGGAAATCAAAACAGCACTACCATACAAACACAAAAGTAATGATCGCGGGAGATAATAAAGCAGAAAACGGACCATTCCAGACGGAAACCTTGAGCGCTTCCTTGGAGAGTCCCTTGACATACTCGCCAAGGTACCGATCCAAGTAAAACGCAAGCTGCTCTTCCAACATCTTTCCTTCCTCACACTTGCCCCTGCTTGCCCCTCAAGTCTCCACCAGCATCCATGCGACTACTCCCCTACAACCAATCACCACTACTCCTCCTTCTCTTGTTCCTGTGCCTCCTCTTCCTCTTCAATCTTCACACTCCAAAAAACCGCTCAAAGCACTAATCCTCCAACTTCGGCGCCAATTCAACTACACAAGGGATAATGTACAAGGAAACCACACCGGCACAGAGAAATAAAGACAAAATTGAGAAGAGCCTTCTTGCAACGGATCAAAAAGCCTCGACGTGCTCCAGGAACGAAACATCTACCACGTCAACGATTGCAAAGCTCTTGAGGAAAACAAAGGCAAAATTGAGAAGAGGGTGACGTAAGCTCGGCAGAGGTAGGAAATGGAAAAGCACCATGACAGTGAGAGGTGGAGGGCTGGGGGGGAGGGAGAGGACGGGGGATCATTCTGAATTTGTAAAATGGCGTGGGCACTGGGCTATGCTGACCAGGCACCTGTTGGCGCCTCATTGGATCATGTATGCTGCCGACGCGTGGCTGGCTCAGAGGTAGAAGCGGATTCCGCCTGGGCTTGCAAGAGTGCGTGCTGGAGCAAAACCCCTCCCCTCGCACCATGCAACGAAACGAACGAATCTACGGAGGAATCAACGAATGGGCGAACGAAGGGGGCGGAGCAGCTGGAGCAGGTATCAACCATCATCATTCATCCGGGACCCAGACCACCTTGCTTCCTTGCCTGCCCTTCCCACACTCCCACACCCTCGCCCCCGCCTCCCCCCGCTTTGCCCTTCTTCCATTGTTTTCTTCCGCTTCACTCCCGACGGTGCATAGTACCCCCCACCCCCCGGAAGGAAGATTGCTACTGCTGGTGGATTTGGCACAACATGGCGACGGCGAAGTAGGTGGTCCGCGTGGTAGGTAGGTAGGCAGAGAGACAACCAGCCAGCCAGCCAGCCAGCCAGCAGGGGGGCGTGGGGAGAAGACATACAGATAGACAGATAAGTTAGATAGATTCATTTCGTCTCCACTTGCTAAGGGAGGTTGGTTGCACTGCCAGACCCCCCCCCCCCCTTTCCCCTGTTGTAGGGTGCTATAACCCCATCCCACGGCGTCGTAGTTGATTCCGGGTTAGCGCAGGAGGAGGAGACGGAGGAGAATGATTAAAAAAACAAAAAGGGAGGTCCATGATCTTGTCTTGAAGTAAAGTGGCATGTTTCCAAGCCTCATGTTGAATCCCTCTTCACCACATCCAGCACACTTTTACTTTGTTTGCACATGTGCGTTTGTCTTTCTTATTGAAAGCAATACATGCTTTGTTGAATTGACATGCACCAATTCTGTGACACTAAATTGTCCCCATCACATTTATCATTGCCTACACTTGAAAGTGTGTTGCATAATTCTTGTGTCAGAGATCATATTAAATCCATCTAAAATGTCTCCACCTTTGCAGATATGTTCATTATTCTTTAAATGCTAAATTATTAAACAAAATATTGAATAATATAAATAAATCAATGAAATTATATATGGGTCTGTATCAACCTCATAAGACCTTCACAATTTTATGAATAATTTACATTCAAATACATTGATTAAAATTTTACAATATTTTAATAATTATAATACATTTGTAGTTGTTGCTAAAACTAACTATCTAAATAAATAAAAGTGAAGTGCGTATACAAGAAAAATGTCAAGTTTTATGCCTTAATAAGGATTTTAATTAAAATGTTAACTAAAATAACTATAGAATGAAATTTTGATAATTGGCACAAAGTATTGTCAAAAACACAGAAATAATACATCAAAACACCAAAAAAATATGTAATTATAGCTTAAGGATATACAACTCAATATATGGTTTTGTAATTTTTTATTTTATCAAAAAAGAATTATAAGCCTTCACTTGAAAAGAAATTTCACAGTATGTTTTCAAAATAATAATCTTTAATAATACGAACCATAAACATCACTCTGCTACTTTGAAGATAATATTTAAAAATTTATAACAAAATATCAATTTTGATTTTGTGCAAAATAGGAATTTTGTAATTATTTCGGTTTAATAGAAAATTTTTAATAGGCTTGGTAGAAGTTCTTGTTACAAGGATTTCCAATTGGTCTCCACATAAATAGTAATCATTACATACAAATTTTAGAATTCAAAGAATATCTCATATGTAATATTTAACAAAAACAAGAAAAACTATGAAACAATGGAGATAAATTGAATTTATTAATTTAAGAAATTAATAAAATTTTGATTGTGGTTATTAATCAGAAGATGCTTACTAATATAAGAAATATAAGAAATTTTAAATTATACAAAATTAAATTTCAATCAAATAGCTCTGTTTTTAAAATATTATCTTAAATTTTAAATATCAATTTCAACCACTTATTGTTTTTGGATAAAAATGCAGAAAAATGTTCTTTTTATAAATATGAACATCTAATAAATGTTAGAATTTTAAGGGAAGAATATGAGAGGTTATAACTTTTTTAACTTGTGCTAAGTTGAAATTGGGAAGCTTGTCTCAATTGGCTTTGTATTATAAAAATCAACCAAGAGGATAAAGATGAAGTAAAATGCATTTATTTTCTACAGACAATGAACAGTGTTATTTCTCTGGTATTGTACTAGGTCCACCTTCAAGAAATAAATTTAATAAAAAATTAAGAATTTGTGTCCAATTAGTTATTAGAATATATGAATTATATATATATTTTTGTGATTTTAATAATTTTTATAATCAAGATTTAAGTTTTCATATCAAAAATTATAATAAAAGAATAATTTGATTTATTAAGGTATTGTTTGACTTTGAACTATTTTCAAATGTCAAGATTTTTGAAAGAAAAAATAATTTTTAGCAAAGTAAGAAATCTTCATAAGATATTAAAAATAGGTCTATTTAAATTTGGATTTTAAGTTTGAAGTAAAATTAATATTAGATCATTCCTAGAATTTTTTACAAGAATGCACTTTGCAAGAATCTCATTTGAGTTGATAAAACTCCCAAGTACCTCCATAGAGTGATTTCATTTCACGATACTCTATATCACTTTGCCCACAATACATATATTATATTAGTTTATTTACAATATATCACTTTGCTTGTAGTATTTATCTTACATTGTCTCATTTATAAAATAAGTCATACTTAAGATGGTTAATTTATATATAAATTTTTGACTTATACTATAGTATATAATATATACTTATACTATATAAGGTATTGTATCCATATAGTTGTAGTTGAGCTTTGTTCATTCTAAAAATCAAAATTTGTATTTTTCAATCTTCATAGTATTAGAGCTTAGTTGAGGTATACTTAAGCTCAAGTGAATATTGCTTCTTAGTACTTTAGAAGAAGTTGGAGACAAGATCAAAGTAGTTCAAAGAAATTTGTCACAATAATTGAAAATAATAAGTCATTGAATTGTAAGGTAGGATATTTCAACTAGTTGATAAGGGCCTTGAACTATAATATTTGGAGGATCAAAATGATAGTGGTTTTGAAAAGAAATGATCTATAGCTATTAGTTGAGACAAAACAATGACTAGTAGTATTTCTAATACTCATAGTAGCAATATCTTATGTAGAAGTTAAGATTAACAAAGCTAAGCTAAGAGCATAGTTTGGTCTTATCATATCAAATGCAAACAATTTTATAGGATTTGTAGCAGCATACAATGACCTAAAAAATTTACAAACAATATTAGAAGGTGTATTTGAGTCTGATGACCAGATTTAGGATTTAGAATTTAGAAGTTTATAATTTAAGATTTATAGATAAGTTACTTATTGAAATACATTGTATGGCAATTTAAGAACAAAAACTATGATATAAAAAAGATTTAATTGATTAATTTTAGAAAACTTTATTTAGACAAAAAAAAGAAATCTTAGAATAGAATAGCTATTTTTGTGGAATTTTCAATTGATAAGGTTTTGGATAAAGTCCACTTCATTGCTATAAGGACACATTACATTAGAAATAATTATTATGAAGAGAATTAAAAAAGAATTTTAGAATAGTTGTTAAATGTTGACTTGATAGAATACCAAAATCAATATTGATCTATGGACTTTGGCATGTCAAACTATGTAATTAAATAAAGAAGAAACTTACATAATTTAGAAAAAGGATTATCTAATTAAAATGTGAAAATTACAAATAATGAAATTTTCTAAGTTGGAATAGTTGGATCTTCAAATATAAATACTAGTTTTAGAAAAATAAACTTGAGAAAAGTTCTTTATATGTTGGCATTAAAATACAATCTTCTATAAGTTGATTCTTCAACAAATGAAGGTCAAGCTGTAGTTTTTATTAATAAAACATGTCTCATTCTAGATGATGAAACAAACAAAAACATCTTTAAAAAGAAGAATGTAGATATTCTTCAAGAACATTATCATTATGATTGTTTCATTGATCTTAAAGAAAGAGATCAACTACCATTTGAACTAATCGATAGCATATCATAGAATGAATTGGTTGCATTCAAGGAATGCATTAATAAAAATGTACCTAATAACGTTATATGCTATTTTAAATTTCTAATTGGAGCTCTTATTTTATTTGTGAAGAAAAAAATGGATTTGTGTGGATATATATTGACTATCAAAGACTTAGCAAAATTACCATCAAGAATAAGTATCTTCTATCATTGATTTTAAGAATTTTTGATTAATTAAATCAAGCAAAGATCTATATAAAAATAGTTCTGCAAATTTTATTAATTTAATATATACTAAAAAAAATAAAAAAAATAAATTACATTTTGAATCAAATATGGGCATTTTGAATATAATGTCATGTCTTTTGAACTTACGAATGTGCTAACTTCTTTTTAATATCTAATAAATAATGTTGTTTGTGAATTTCTTGACAATTTTATCATCTGTTATTTAGATGACATCTTCATCTACTCTAAGAACATAGAAGAGTGTAAAATTTATATTTATTTTTTTTTACAAAAACTAAGAGATATAAGATTATATAAAAAGATAGAAAAGTTTATACTTCACATTACTCAAGTTGACTTCCTAGAATATATCATTTCAAACAATGGTCTTATAATGGATTCTAAGAAAGTCCAAACTATCATAGATTGGAAGATTCCAAAAACAATTAAAGATGTATAATGTTTTTTGGAATTTGCCAATTATTACCAGATCTTCATTAAGAACTTTTCTCAAGTTACAACTTCTCTTTAATGCTTGACATGTAAAGACAAACTAAAGTGGAGTAAAGAAATTGAACTATCTTTTGAAGTCTTAAAGACAACATATATTTATACACCAATATTTTTTTGTATTGACTTTTGAAAAGTAATATTTATAGAAATAAATACATCAAAATTTGATATAGGTGTTATTTTGTTAGAAATGGAAGTAGATGACAAGTTCTACCTGGAAGCTTT